AATGTGGCCAGTGCAAAAAATAAGAGAGTAGGTAGCCAACAATTAACAGAAGATAGAAAGAAGAGATGGGAAGGGCATTTTAAAGTTTTGCTTTCATGAAAGTTTCTCTTATTTTTCTGTTTTTCTAGCTGCCAAACAAGATAGAAATCATTATACCAAGAGGTCGGACTATCAGTTAAGTCAGTTCAGTATAGCAGAACACGGGGGAGTATCTAGGAAGGGCTAGCATGGTCCAGCAGTTAAGAGTTCACCTCTTGGTAGAGCTGTGTCACCTGGGTTTAAGTTCCAGCTTCACTACCTATTGGCTGGGTGTTCTTGGGCAAAGTGCTTAAACTCTCTGTTCCTTATTTTACTCATGAATAAAGTGCAGATCATGTGAAGTTGTTGTGAAGATTAATGAAATTGTTGTGAAAAGTGTTAAGTTATTGTTATGAGGCAAACATTGTGCATGACATTGAGGGTGTTAGTGGGGAAATAGATCCTTAGATAGACAATTTCAATGGAGTGTTTTTTAAGTGTCCAGGTGAAAGTTGTCTTTTTTTTTCTTTTTCTTTTTTTGAGACAGGTTCTCACTCTGTCACCCAGGTTGGAGTGCAATGGTGCGATATTAGCTCACTGCAACCTGTGCCTCCTGGGTTCAAGCAATTCTCCCACCTCAGCCTCTCGAGTGACTGTGATTATAGGCATGCACCATTATGCTCAGCTATTTTTTGTATTTTTAGTAGAAACAGGGTTTTACCACGGTGGGTGAGCTAGTCTTGAACTCCTGACTTCAAGTGATTTACCCACCTCGGCCTCCCAAAGTGCTGGGATTACAGGTGTGAGCCACCACGCACGGCCGAGGGTTGTCTTTTGAATCACTTCTTCATTTGGACTGGGGTTGCAGAAGGCAGTCATGCGTTTTAAAATCAAGATGCCCACAAAAACTTACAAATTACGTGTATTTTGTAACCAACTGAATGGCATTGGTGAGACTTCCATATAGAATTGAAGAGTAAGCCAAGAGTCAAGATGACTTAGCTCTTCAGAGACTGGTAGAAGAGTCATGTAGGTATGTTAGCAAAAGTGCCAATCATGATATTTTTATATTACTTTAGAGTAACTGAGAGAAGGGAAGTCGCCAAGAATCTTAACATGTGCCAAGCACTCTTTAAAACAGTTTACCTCCCTTAACTCATTGAATGCTCCAATAAGCCTACATTGCACATGACAGTATCCTGATTTTATAAATAAGGGCACTGAGGCTCAAAGAGGGAAAATAATTTGCCCAAGGTCATACAGCTGCTAGGTGGTAGAGCAAGAAAGCAAAGCATCTGCTCTAATAAGAAAAAAATCAAAGTCAGCAGTATTCCAAAGCCAGAATCAAAAGAAAGAAAAGCTGTGATTAATAGTGTTCAGATTCCCCCAGCTTTCTATGGTCTAGATTATAGGCCCTCTTCTTTGATATAGGCTAAGCGCTAACAGATTTTTTTCTTTATTATTTGCATCAGGGGAAGTTCAGAAGTAGAGCATTACTTTATGAGAAGTTCAGTAAGTTTTTTAAATCTTAAGAAGAAATGATTTACCAATTCATGGAGACACCCCTCCTTCAATAGATCTTTAATTAAAATAAAAACAGATGCATTGCATTCTGAAATGTGTCAGATTTTGTCCCGTCATGGATTACAATTACCATGTTTTTAATGCTGAAAGCTTTTTCAGGCAGCAGAACTCTTACAGTAGGTTTACTGAGAGAGCTGTTCACTCTTCAGTTCTCAGACAAAGCCAAGTCAGAAAGGCTTTCCATAATAAATTTAAATCATTTCCCACAGGACAGAGCAGAAAGAAAACTGAAGGAGAGAGGCAATGGGACTGTGGTTCCTTTATAGTATACTCTTACCAATAGGAGAAGGTGACAATGACAGTAGGAACACTAGCCTGAGACCATTCTCAGCACTGCCAGAGAAGGTACGAGAGGTGGCAGGTCTTGGAGACACTCCCAGGGATGCCAGACACGTTCTGGATACTGCACACCGCTCTCACATCCACCAGAGGGCACTCAAAAATCTCACATTACTTTTCTGTGGGGCTATTTGAAACAGTTCCTTAACTTCCCCAAGCTTCAACATCCTCAGAATCAGAATGGAGAGTTACAAGGACTAAATGGGACATTAGACATAAAGCTCCTGGCTCATGGTATAGCCCAATGAATGTTGGTCTTTCCTTTATCATTCACCCAAACCAGCAGCACCAGCATACAAATAAGTTGATCTGGGAAGAGTCGGCGGGCTCCTCCAGTCTGCAGTCCTTTTGAGCTCACAGCTTGTCTCCTGTGACTCAGAACCTGCTAACTCTGGGAAAAAAGGGATTCTCGGTCTCCACCCTCCCCAAACTGATGAACTCATGCTGCCTGTTTGTGCTGCATGTCAGAATGTATCAAACATCACAATTAGAGAAGTTGCTTTGCAATTTTGGGCTGGAAGGGTAGCTGGGGATTTCAACTATGAAACGCGGCTGCCCACTCCTACCAGTTCATTGTCTCAGGCTTGTCTAAATAGGGAGCAGCACGTCATAACAGAGGGAACACTGGCCTAGAAGTCGAGAGCTCTGGATTCTGCGCCTACCTTCTTCGTCTGTCCATTGAATGGCCTTAAGCAAGTCACTTCATGTCCGTGGGCCCCTGTTTTCCCACTTATAAAATGAATCCTTGAATTAATTGTTAATCTGTAGATTCACTTCCAGTTTGGTGGTTCCTTGATATTTCCTTCCATCAGGGCAAGGCATAATCCAGGAGTGATGGACTACATACACCATTTGTAAACTTTATGTTGCCCAAAACAAAACAAAACAAAACAAAACCCTGAACTGATTATACTGTTTTCAGTTGCTTCAGGAGACTAAGTGGCTAAATATCTTCAATTCCTACTGGCTCATTGAAGTTTTTTGTTCCATGGACCCTGTTGGACCAGTTAGGCTTGTTTTTCATTTTGATTAAGGAGACCAATTACCTAAGAAAGGATAATCTTTATTCAAAAAATTGAGTTTGACATCTTGTATCAGCCTAACCCATGGGATACCATATTTACTTGTCCAACTACTTCCATCCCACTCCCACCTTTTCGTTGATACTTTCAACTCTAAAATACGGGATGTGAAGGGGAAAATGTAAGAGTCTGGGTCCATGCCCTCTGGAAATCTTCATGATCCATCAGAGCCACACCCCTATTTACTAGACTGCTGTGATCAGCTAGATTTTCACAGCAGTCACTATGCATAGTCATTGGATCCAAGATAACATTTCACCCGAAACGAGATTTCTGGGATGTCTATGAAGGACAGTGGGAGGGAGATAAGAAGACTGGTTTGCAAAGTTAGCATGGGACTGAAGCCTCTTGGGTCCCTGACCAAAAAGAAGAGTTCTGTGAGCTCAGTTAACTCTTGGGAAGTACCTTAGGGTTGGAAAACTTGGGGTGTGAATGGAGGTAACAGTACTATCTCTGGACTTGCAGAAGAGACAGATAGGGGAGGATGGAGTGAGAGATAGCTGAGGGGATGGTCTTCCCTTGCCAGTGTCTGCTTTAATTTATTGTTTTTCTCTTCTGACAAAGGGCATATTTAATAATAATAGTTTAGAACATCCTACTTTAAAAAGCATTTGCTTATTCTAATCCATACAACAGGCCTATGAGATCAGCAGCGACATATGTTCGAAATGCTGATTTTAGGGAAAGCAGAATGTCCACACAAAAGGGCCCACAGCAACATGACATCCATCTGGTACACTGACCATGGTTTAAGATCTAGTTTTGGACCTTTTGGATCCAGAAGAGTCACCAGAATGGACTTGCATTAACCAAGCTTCCAGAAATGGAAATATAAAAACTAGATGCTCATGGACTAATTTCAGCAAGAAATGCAGCTGTGGGGCCAACCAGAGGCTTGAGTCAGCAGGTTGGAACATTCTCTCCCAGTATGCTAATTGTTTCAGAAGCCAAATTATAATCAGAAGGCCAATTTATTCACTTAAAGTGAAAAATACAAATTATAAGTGAACCAGATGTTCATGTTAGCCCAGCCTTTCCTGACAGATAAACGACAAAGAAAACCACATTATCAGAAGAGTGCTTGGTGAGCAGGAACCCAAGCAAGGGGCATTTGCTGACTACAGTGTGTCTTTCAGCAAAGGCAGGTGGAGGCCCCCCACTCATGGAAGGGACAGCCTTGCAAAGAAAACTGTAGCACTTGAATCTGGGGAGCAAGCCTTCCTCTACTTGTATTAGGCATGGATGGGCACCGCCAGTGCTAGACTTGACAACTCTCCGTATTCTACGCTTCTGTTTCTCATGGTCCTTGTCAAAACAGGGTTATAATACAAATAATTAGTTATCTGCTTACTTTCTGGGATTGCTCCCAAATTATCTCAATTGGAATTTTTGCAGTTCCAAATGTTGTTAGTCACACGTTTATGAACAGTGTCTTAGTTTCCTAGCACAGATGGCTAATTCAATTCACTAAATGAAGATTTTACTAGTTTAGCTCTTGAAAATCTTCTGTTTGATGTCTTGAGCAGCAGTGCGCTTTCTGTAGAAAAGGTTATATGTGTGTGAGATTTACAGATTTAGAAATGGAGACTCAGGGAGGCTGAGTGCCTTGCCTTTGGGCTATGTAAACAGTAGAGCTGGAACTCAAATCCAGATCTTCTGAGTTGAGATTCTACACTTGTTCTATTGGATGTGACCAAGTTGTCTGCTATTAGTAAGTTTCATTTTAAAGCAAAAAAGAAAATCAATGTGTTCTTAAGAATTATCTTTTAAAAACGTTAACTGATTTTTTATTTCCTAAATGGCAGGGAGGGGAAGGTGGGTGTTGCATGAAAGTGTGTAGCGGGGAACATGAGATGATATGAATAAAAAGGTCCCTCAGCTGTAGCTGCCTGGTACATCTGTACCCATGAAGTCCAGGCACAGAGCCTCAGTGATCTTGTCTGGGAGTAAACAGTGAATAAATGTGTCTTGTTGCAGAATCTGAGTGTCTCAGAGGCAAGAGGAAAAATTCTCCACTATCAGGTGACCTTGCAGGAGCTGACAGGAGGGAAAGTTATGACACAGAACATCACAGGACACACCTCCTGGACCACAGTCATTTCTAGAACCGGAAATTGGGCTGTGGCTGTGTCTGCAGCAAATTCAAAAGGCAGTTCTCTGCCCACTCGTATTAACATAATGAACCTGTGTGAGGCAGGTAAGTTCTAATTTTTCTTTAACATTGCCTGTGGAAAACTGTGTCTTACTCATCTCTTATCTCCTGCAGGCCCAACCCAGGGCCTAAAATGAGTAGCCAGGAGTTCAGGCTTTGGAGTCAACAGCTTTCAGAAGCTTTTTTTTTTTTTTTCCAGTCAGCCTATGAGTAGCCTCGGACAAGTGAATGAACATCTCTGAGCTTCAATGTCCTCCTCTCTAAAATAGGAATTATATTGCCTGTCTCATAGGTCATTTTGAAACTAAATATTAATACATAGCAGGTATTTAATACGTTGTAGTTAAGGAAATACTAGTTACATTAAATTGAACACCAATATCTAACTAGCTTTTATAGAAGCAGGAGTAATATGTGTTAAGTTTAAGAAAACATTTTACACCTGCAGTCAAAACCTATTTTAAAACCAAAGCTGGGGATGGTGGTGTGTACCTATGGTCCCAGCTACTTAGGAGTATGAAGTGGGAGGATTGCTTAAGCCCAGGAGTTCCACACCAGTCTGAGCCTCACAGTGAGACCCCTTTCATCAAAAACAGATAAATAAATACAACCAATAATATTGAAATTCTGACTCTAATGAAACTATAGTAAAATTTTGTTTTACCATAGCCCTTTATTGCACAAGTTTAGATACATATCCAATTACCTTTATCAGAAAATTCCCAACTAGATGTAGAGTCTCACATTTAATAGTCATATCCTCTGAAAATTAACTTACCAGGATAAAAGCTCACAATTAGGCAAGGAAATTGATATTAATCCTATTTCTCAAGATCTGTATTATAAAAGAATTCCATGTCAAGTTCATTGGCCTAACTTCAAATAATGCCTAATAGAGTAAAACTCTGTAATTAGATCCTCTCCTAAAATTCAGTTTAATAATTTTATCTACCAGTGGGTTTAGCAATCTTCATTTTGAAAAAGTCTACCAAAATGCTATTATTTAATATACACTGTTCAATCTTGGTTATATATCTTTTCAGTCATATATCTGTACACATAGAAATAAAGTATTAGATACAATACTTAGATGAAAATACAGGTAAGTATTAATGTATATATACATGTAACCAGTATATATATATTATATACATATAACCTTGGGTTGGTGTATGAGTTAGGAATTTCTCTTGGGATTAGGGTTGTTCTTACCAAAGGCCTGACTGTACGAACCTATTTATCCTCTCAAAAAAAGAGAAGTCCAAAGGTAGACAGCCTAGGGCTGGTGTGACAGCCTCATGATGCCATCAGGACTGTAGGCTCCTTCTTTCTGTTCCCTCTGCCAAGTTTGGCTTTCATCCTCATGATGGAAATAGTCCAAGATGGCTGCCAAGGCTCTAGCTATTTCCTTCTAGACAGCAGAAAAGGAAAAGAGGGGCTCAGCCCTTACTTTTAAGGAGCTTTACCCCAGGGCTAACAACAACACTTGCATTCATCAGCCCACTGGTCACCTGGTCACACCCAGCTGCAAAGGAGGCTCAAAAATATATTAAGGCAGCAATGTTCCCTTGCTAAAAAGATGAGGAGAAGGTGTTTGTAAGCAACTGGCCATCTCTGTCTCATGTGGGGAAGACACCTAAGGCAGGAAGCTTGAAGGAAAAAAAAAAATATTAACTATAGAAAAAAACACTTCAACTTTATGCGTAGTAAAATAGATTTTTTAAAAGACACCATAAATAAAGTTTTAAAATACAAATAGCAATTTAAGAAAACTGTATGTCACCTTTTTAGCAGAGAGAGGGTTGATTTCTATATATCTATATATTTAAGTGTATATTTATATAACTTTTTCAAGTATAAAACTAGGGGATATGAACAGGCAACTCAAAAAGAAGTATAAAAGGGAGCAACAAAGATATGAAAATATGTTTAGCCTAACTAGCAATCAATGAGATACAAATTTTGAGAAAACCTGAAAAACCAAATCAGACTGAGAAAGAGTAAGTAGAATGAACATATCCATGTTGGTGAGGGTGTGGGGAAGATACTCTTGTACATGCTAGTGAGTGTGTAAATTGGTACAACTTACTGGGGAGCAACTTGGCAATACATAACAAACTTTAAATGTAAACTTGTATCTTTTGACCAGGACATTTTAGCCTTAGAACTGTATACTCAGCATTTCGTAGGGTAAGTGCTTAAAAATGGAAGCACAAAGATGTTTGCTGAAAAATTGTTCGAAATAGTGAAACACCATAAATAACCTAAATGTATAATAGTAAAGAATGGACTAGTTAAACTCATCATGACCCTCACCTGCCTTAATCCTACACCAACATTAAAGGGATGTTGCAGCTATGTTTTTTATTGACATGGACAGATACACATTAGAAGTGAAAAAGTAAGATTTTAAAAGTGTATATGAGATGATGCCATTTTAAATATATATTCACACCCAGTGCAGTGACTCGCACCTCTAATCCCAGCACTTTGGGAGGGCAAGGTGGGAGGATTGCTTGAGCCCAGAAGTTTGAGACCAGCCTGGCCAACATAAGGAAAAAGATACAAAAAATAAAAAGAAGAGCCAGCTGTGGTGGCTAACGCCAGTGGTTGCACTACTTGGGAGGATGAGGTGGAAGGATCTCTTGAGGCTAGGAGATTGAGATTGCAGTGAACTGTGATCGCGCCACTGCACTCCAGCCTGGGTGACAAAGTGAGACTCTGTCTCAAAAGTAAATAAATAAATAAACATTTACATCAGCATGTACTTTTTGAAGGGTAAAATAAAAAAAAAATGTCTAGTTGAATATAGATGGAAATGTTAACAGAGATCATCTCTACATCTGGAATTACAAGTTATTTTTCTTCCCTTTTGCTTTTTATATTTAAAAATTTGTTCTTCAGTGGCTAAGTACTGCGTATGTAATTTTTAAAGTGAATTCTGTGGTTCTATTCTGCTGTTTTTAAAATGAAATATATCAGAATAACTTACTTCTTCAAACCTCACTGCAAATGGGTCTTGAGGTTTTAAACCTTATGAATTCTGTGGTCCCATCCCAGGTTCCTTAGTTAGATTTGGTGACAACTTCTCAAATGCCACATTCATCATGTTAGAGTTCATTTCTACTTTATTCATTCAACAGTCATTTTTGAGCATACACTATATAAGGCAGTTGGAATCCAGCATAGGTAAAAGATACAGTTGAGGTCCTCAACTTATATTTAGTCAAGGGGGAGGGTCAGACATATAAGCAAGTAAAGTGCAGTACAGTAGAATAAGCATGAGGTTAGAGGTATGCATGGGGGCTCTAGGAACAGAGAATAGCCAAAGCATGAGCTTGTAGAGGAGGCCAGGAGAGCTGGTGACATGCGTACCAAGTATGGAGAGACAAAGTGGTGCTAGTCAGGTGAGGGAGAGCAGGTGTGCAGGCATGAGGGTTTGTTTTAAAGTGAGAGCTGAGCAGGCATAGGACTTGAAAAGAAGAACCAGGGATAAGGAAGAAGTTGAAGACAAAGGAGAGGGGGGGAATAATAAAGTCCCTGGGGAGATGGGAGATGATGAGGAGCCAGTGACCAAAAGAGGAAGAGGAACACTTCATCCTCTGAGAGTGGACAGAGGACCATTGATCACAGAATGATAAGAATGGGGTTGATGCAGAGATCATTTTGGGAGGGAAAGAAGGACATGAGGCAATTCTTGAGAGCCGAGCTATAGGTAAGAGGGTCTTAGAAGTGCTGGAATCTCAAGGGCCTCTTGCCTCTCCTAAGATCACACCTGAGCCATTCATACAAGTAGTTCTGTGTCCCAGAAGGACCTGGAGAACTGCATGGTCCTGTCTTTGAGGACTTTGTCTCACACATACCCTGAATGATCTGTAGAGGTAGAACATGACTCTGTGCCTTCTCCTCTTTCAGTATACATTCATATCGTTTACATATGTATCTTTCCTTCAAGAAAAGGATAAAATAATGTCCCAACATTAGTTAGGCTGATTTATGCTGATTTTGAGAGACCAGAGACAAATCTGTTGTAAAAAGCACCTGCCACAGCATTGTATGTAAAGAGGCACAAGAGTGATTTTGTTAGCTTATGATAAAAGTTACATGCTAGCCAGGCATGGTGGCACATGACTGTTTTCTGAGCTACTTGGGAGGCTGAGGCAGGAGGAATGCTTGGGCCCAGGAGTTGGAGGCTGCCACGAGCCATGATTGTGTCACTGTACTTCAGCCTGGGCAACAGAGCAAGATATTATCTGAAAAAAAAAAAAAAAAAAAAAAAAACCAGGGCCAGGCGCAGTGGCTCACACCTGTAATCCCAGGACTTTGGGAGGCCGAGGCAGGTAGATCACTGAGGCCAGGAGTTCAAAACCAGCCTGACCAATACAGTGAAACCCCATCTCTACCAAAAAATACAAAACTAGCCAAGTGCGGTAGTATGCGCCTGTAGTCCCAGCTACTCAGGAGACTGAGGCAGGAGAATTGTTTGAATCCGGGAGGCGGAGGTTGCAGTGAGCCAAGATTATGCCACTGTACTCCAGCCTGGGCAATAGAGTGAGAGACCCTGTCTCAAAAAGAAAAAAAAAAAAAAGGAATGTGTGCTAAACCTACCAGTCGACGAGTAAAATGTATTAAATATTTCAAAGACCTAGCCCTTCCACTCAAGACCTCTTGAAACTGCAGGAAGAGTCAGAAGCCAGTACAGTCATAAACACAGGCTCACAGAGATGGCAGAGACTGGGGCCCTAGGAGGTGAAGTAACAACAAAGATCATACATCTAATAGTGGCAGAGCTACATGGAAAACCAGACCACCCTTGGGTGAGCACTTTTTCCAAATGCCTTCTGAACATTATAACTTCATACAGAAGCTCTCAGTGAAAATGGAGATGGGAAGAACGATTGAGGCTAAAGGAAAGGTGACAGGTAGAAGGTGAGTTGTTAGCAGACTTTTGAAGGAAAGAACATGCCCCAGCAAACATCATGAGAGAGGAAATTCTAGGTTGGTTCCTGGCAGGTGTGGTGACTCAGAGACCGAAGAACCCTAGG